AACAACACCATCTGCCTATCCCAGGTCCTTGGGAAGGACTTGATAGGTGGATAAAAATGCCAAATCCAGTCTAAACATCTGGCTGACTGTGCAACCATCACCACCAAAAATAATAGGCACAACTCAAATGCAAAACATTCATTCTTTGCAGCATTCAGTAGTTAGACTCAGGGGTGTTTCAGTTTTAGCATTTGTGGGTTTTAGGGTTAGGTTTAGAGTTGTTCTACATTAATGGATTTATTGTTTATTTGGTTTACATACACCTACATTCCCTTTTGTGTTGAATGGGCAAGATGTTCTTTCCAAACTATGCTAAGTAAGAAAAATCATCTGTGGAGCTAAGATGAAGTAAGATGAGGAATCCCCACATCAGTTAATTAATTTCTATTAGGCATCATTTCTCTATGTATAATTTTTTGTTGAGGGTGGAAAATGAAATTGGGACCTTGGGGCTGGGCTGATGATATGCAAATTATTTGTAATAGAAATAATTTTCTTAATCTGCAGGTGTGGCTGACTACTGTGTTAAAGGATGTTATATGGATTGACTCTGCAATGGGAAAAATGAAGGACATGAAAAACAAGTAAGAGAAATTGTAATTGTTTCACTAATGGAATGCTGGCCACGTTTACATCTGTGATGCTGGACTAAGACTAAGAAAATTAAGTTTCAGATCCACACTCAGATGTTAGATTACTATTTCTCAGCTTAACCCTACCGCACAGGATTGTTGTTCTTGAATTTAGCTGAGTCACTCTCAGCTAAAACAGTTTTGATGAGGAAATATTTGATATTTAATGTGCAATTCAACAGCATGAAACTTCTTGAAATATGTATGTTTTTGACAAAATATAATTGATATAACTTTTCTGCTGATCATTTATCAAGGCAGGTGGTATTGCACTAAATACATTATTAAATTTAAAATCACTTGTTTTCCATTTTTCTATCAAGTTTAGACTCAATATGCAGTCAAATTTTAACTTAAAAATGAAACTTAAAACATTAGAAATTCTGTTACTGCATTTTTTCCCTGCAAATGTGCTTCAGAATTTGGTTTTGTGTTTTTTAATATGTAAGTATTATTTTATTTTTAACCTACTGCTGTTTAAACATTGTTCATCCTTGTTTATCTTGTACATCTAATTTTAGTAGAGATTCCTATGAACAAGTTCTTTCCACCTGCACCCAAATGAAACAGAAAGGTACTTTTGAACAAGTTAGCTGTTCCTCTTTGGCTGCCTGGGTTTGTAAAAGAAGCATAGGTAGGTAAGATGAAGTTCACTCCAATTTTCAGTTGTAAGCAGAGTTCTTACTGGAATGAAGTTTGGAGGGGATTTGGGATACCAGCTGACCTGATCCAAAGAACATGGGCTGATGTGCAGATCAAAACTGATCCATCTGCATTTATAGTTTCTAAATGTCTGACGCAATTCTCCATTTGAAACCAAAATCCAAACACATTTTAAATGTGTATTTTGAGAGAAAAATATATTTAAAATGTTATCTGAAAATTAGAATTGTTCTCATTTTTGCTTGATGTTGGAGATTTGTTCAAATACTCTAAAATGGAAAAGGTGAAATATTTCAAAGCAACAGCAGAAGTTTGAAGAGGAAAGTATTTAGTATTCAAGCATGCCAACTGAAGTTTTTTACCTTCTCCCTTTGCTCCTGCTGCTCAAACAAAAAAATCTCAACTCACATATGAGGTTTTTTTGAAAGCTCCTGAACATTTTCCTTTCTCAGTGTATTCTATACTTATTCTCAGCTGCAGTCATCATCCCAGAGCTGCTGCAGAGCGGTGGTGGTAGCCCCACACGCTGCACAACCAATAACAGCATATTGTTACAGCAAATACATACAACATATGTATTTCAGTTGGTACTGCACTACTGTAATGTTTCTGTGCTGCTGTCACATTCAGTAAGGTAGTAGAAGCAGCAATGCCCCTTTCTCCTATTGTGTTCCTTTCTGAATGTTCTTCCCACCCTTATAGATTGGACTTGGCTGCCTATTCTGTCACGAAAAACTTGGGGCCAATGCCTTTCCAGTTAGTATTAAGTCTAATGCTTATTCAGTTGTTTCAATTTGTAGACAACAGTATGAATAATTCTAAAACTGAGTTGCCACGTCCTAAATACTAAGTTACTCAAAGTACCTCTGCCAAATTTATATTTGTTGCTCAGTGTAAAAGTGATTTGTTGGCTACCGCAATACCAGTATTAGTCTGTTCAGAAAGGGACAGATCGGGAAGCAAAATGTGTAATTTTATGTTGGTAGTTCACATATCCGTGAAGTAATATATATTTTCATAGAAACACCAATATTAAGAGGAAATAAGAAAAAGCAAAGAAATCAATTGAATGGTGTTTTAAAAAATCTATTTTAGATACCAACTTGTTTTGGAAATACTCTAAAAAAATACTTCTCTTGCCACTGAGAAAAAGAATATATGCAAATAAGGAACATGCAAAGTCAGCCTGCCTTTTGGAAAAAGAATGCACTGGAATTAGTTATTGGAGAAAGAAGTACCGACCAGTCAGTGGTAAAGAACTGATTTCAACTACATCAGAACAGGATACTGCATACATCAAAAGTGGTAAATGTTCAGTTAGTGTAATATCTATTGTGGTATATATTGCAGTATGATCAAGAAATATAATCTAATTAGACTGATATAAACTGTTCTCAGTGACTCTTAAGAGGGACAAAGTAAAGCTACAATATAAAAATTGAGAGAAGACAAAATTAATATCATTTTCAAAAGAGGTGATCAAGTTCAGCCATCTACTGTATCCTATGATGTCCTGAAAAACAGTGTATCAAAGAAGCAAGAACATAGGGACAATGATTAAACCTGTTCATGTCCACAATAAAACAATTAGTTTCAAACCCAGCAGCAATTAGAGTCTGCAACTGCCATGATAATGGATGACAAAAACATTTGGCCTTTCTAGAATCTTCACCTTCTATTGGTGGAGATATTTACATTCTGAATATAGATTATATTCATTATACTGATATGTGCTTACTAAGCTGAAATTATGATTTGAAAAAATATTGTAATTACTGTCTCTGTGTTAGCCATGAAGGAGGTCTTAAATGTTGCACAGTCACGCCTTGAGCCTTGTCGTTCTTAGTAGGTTTATAAGTAATATGGGCAAGGGTATAGAGGGGTTCCTTATGACCTACTTTTAGGACAAATGGCCAGCATGATAGAAAAGCCCTGGCTTCTGGTTGCAGTTGCTTAATGCTAGTTCAGCTTACAATAAGACTGCCCTCATCTGTGATTTGATCACAGATAAGAGGCCTGACCAGGTATGTGCTGAGACCTGAAACCTGGCTGGGTCCAGGAGAGGAAGGGGTCCCCCACTCAGAAAAGTGCCCAGATGGGTTTCAGGTGTGGTGCAACTCCAGGGCAGGGGTGGAGTTGTGGTGATTGTCATCTAAGAGTCACTGTTGGCTTTCAGGGGTGCTGCTCCACAGGATTTTGGATGTGACACCATGTTCGTTAAGCTGGGATCTAGGGATCAGTTGGGATTGTTGCTGTTGTACCAGCCTCCCTGCTGTGTAGCAATCTCCCTGCCTGAGCTCCTTGACTCCATAACTGGTTTGACAGTGGAGTTTCCCAGGCTTATTTATTTATTTTTATTTATATATCAAAATTTGTCACCACCCATCTGTGGGCGGTTTATGGTCCTGGGGGAATTCAATCTGCCTTCTCTGGGGTGGGGTCTGAGGTAGCTCAGGAGTTCATGGCCACCATGACAGCCATGGGCCTGTCCCAGGTCATCCAGGGCCTGACATGTAACTGTGGTCATACATCTGATCTGTTTTTTCTGTCAGAGAAGTAGCAGTGTAACCTGGAATTGGGGGAGCTTTCTGTTACTCCCCTGTCATGGTCAGATCACTCCCTGGTAACCATGGAGTTTTCTGGCACTACCCCTCACTGCAGGGAGGCGGGACCTTTTTAGTTGGTCTACTTCAGGAGACTAATGGACTCTGGGGTTTCAGAGGGAGCTTGAGGTTTCTCTGATAGCCTGCTGCATGGTCTGATGAAGGCCTTAATTGCTGCCTGGAATGAAAAGGTGTTAGATCATATTGTGCCCACGTGGCTTCTTTCTGCCTGTGGATCTCATCACGTCCCCTGGTTTACAGAGGAATCGAGGGAGATGAAGCGAGCGAAAAGAGGCTTAGAGTGCCGCTGGAAGTCAACAAAGAACAAACTTGACCTATAAAGCCCTACATGGCATGGGGCCAGGTTATTTGAGGGACTGCTTCTACCCAATCACATCTATCCATCCCATCAGGCCTGACAGAAAAAGCACATTGTGGGTCTGTCCACTAAGTAATGTCATCTGACAAGAGCCAGGAGGAGAGCCTTTTCTGCTGTGGCACCCGCCCTCTGGAACATCATTTACCTGAAGTCAGACTGGCCCCAACTTACTGGCCTTCTGGAAGGGCCTGAAGACATGGCTTTGCCGACAGGAGGCGGAGCTGGCATCGCGGCGGTACGGTGTGCGATCTGGAGCTCCCAAGACCGCAGCTGATATCTCCGATGCTGGACGGTCCGGAAGGACCTAAGCCGTCCCGTAGAGACGGCGACTAGATAGGGCACGTCCTGT